GCTGCCGAATGTTGAGCATTAAACACCTTCTCGGAGCTTGTGGGGGCGGAGGGACTATTTCTGGTCTGTGTGGTCAGTTGACCCCCACCCACATCCGTGAGCTCGCTCTGCCAGTTTGCAAAGATGTTGAGGGTAGGTCTGCCAAGGACCTGAACGCCCCCCGGCCCCGTTAGCCGGGGCAGCTCCGTGTAGAGAGGGCCGCTGCCGAATGTTGAGCATTAAACACCTTCTCGGAGCTTGTGGGGGCGGAGGGACTATTTCTGGTCTGTGTGGTCAGTTGACCCCCACCCACATCCGTGAGCTCGCTCTGCCAGTTTGCAAAGATGTTGAGGGTAGGTCTGCCAAGGACCTGAACGCCCCCCGGCCCCGTTAGCCGGGGCAGCTCCGTGTAGAGAGGGCCTGGGACACACAGCTGAGAGGTGGCCCGGGAGCCCCTCTTTGCAGTAGGGTGTTTCCCCCCTACCTCCATTGTTGCTACAACCTGTTCAGATCCATCAGTGACTTGGAAGAGCTGTGTCCACACCGGGAGGGTTTGGTGATCAAAGTGCTGTCAACAGGCAACAGCGAAAACCAGTCAAACCGGTTTTTCTGCCTCCTGTTGTCGACATTTCATGGCCACATGGCTGGCTCCCCTGTCGACAGACAGAGCAAAGCATTGTGGTGGAGCATCCCACAGGGCAGTGCTGCGCTTCTTGGGATTCCCTTGTAGCTCTGAGCTCTCCATGCTGGGGAATGTCAAAGCAGCACAGCAGCCTCTCCAGCTCTCCCCCTGCAGCAGCAGCCTGCCCGCCGCTGGGTTCCTAACAGGGCAGAACAGGAGCATCCCAGTGATTTGCTCTTTGTTTGTTCCCCAGAGGGAGCAGCTCACTCCGCTGTCAGACACTTCCCGGAGCTTGGAAAGGGGAGGGGTCCATGCCTGCAGGGCAGCAGAGATCCCGAAATACTGAGCACAGCCATCAGGGCAGCATTGTGGGATACTGGCGGAAGTCAGTTCTCTCCTCAAAACAAGCAGCAGAGTCCACACTGGCTCTTTGTCAAGAACAAAGGGAGGGGAAAAGACAAAAGTCTCTTGCTGGGCTGGAAGTTTGTTGTTGCCAAAACTGGTTGTTTTTCCCGACCAAAGTCACAGGGCAGCAAAAACACTCTAGCTGTTTTGTTGCCAAAAGGCAGGTTTGGGTGACAGAACATGCCAGCGTAGACAAGGCCCCAGAAAGAATAGCCGAGTGAGACTGCGGCTTTAAAATGCGGACGCTCTCCTGCATCACGGCTATGGTAGACAGGACTCTACCGCTGAGTGCAGCCAACGGCTCCATCTGGGGTGGCTGGGTCCCGGCCTGGCTGGGAGTTGGACTCCTGGGGTCTCACGGACTCTCTGCTGTGGGAATGTCTCTTGTTTTCCGTGAAGGCCCAGGAAGCTGAGCAGAAGGGAGGAACATGCCGGCCTTGCTTTAATGGGCAGGGGGGCTAGCTCTCGCCTCTAGAAGATGCATCAGTCCCCTCTGGTTGGTTCCTTCCCAGCAATCTCGCTGGCCCTGTTAACAGTTCAGGGCTCTGTTGAGGATTTGCCATTGTGGAACTTGCTCAGTGAGGGGAGAACAGCTACTGGCCTCGTCCCTGCCAGCCTGTTCCTCCACTCCCCCAGGGCTGCCTCTGGTGCTTTTCGGCAGAGCATGCGGCATCTGGCTTGGGAGGGGGGTCTCTGCAGTAACCGGTTTGGGAAGGGCGGGGTCTCTGACACGTGCATTAACGGGCTTCACTTTCACTTCATAGAATCTTGGTTTCACATCTGCTTCGGCCCCCATGGGAGGTGGGTTTGGTGCACTTGGCTCAAGTGCCGAGCAGCCCACAAATAAGCAGGAAAGGCGCAGGGCTGGACTAGCGAGGGGGGGCTTTGCAGCTCAGGATGTCAGTGCACGGGAAGCACAAATTCTGTCTCGCTGGCTCTTGGGCCAGCATCTGTCCTTGCTTATAAGCCCTAGCGCCCACTATGCCAGGTGCTCAGTGCTTGGGGAGGGAGTTGAATGGGGCTGGTGAGATTTGCCCCCAGCCTGTGGTGTTGGTGTGGGTAAGAGCTGGGAACACAAGTCGTGCCAAGCTCCCTCTGATGGGAAGGGCGGTGTGAGAGGCCCTGTTGAAGCATCTGACTTGGGTCAGGATTTCCGTGTTCTCAGTCCAGCCCTGCCTCTCTGCCGCCTACCATCTGGCCGCCTCCCTGGCTCTGCCCTCCATGTGCTGTCTAGTAAAGGATGGTAAAGGTTAACCGGGTAAGAGGTTAACTGGTAAGCATGTGCCATAGTGGCATACTTACAGCTAACCGGTTAACCGGAGCCGCCTCCTCCCAAGGCAGCCCAACTGGCAGGGCTGTGGTGGGCCCGGAGCAGCTCCCACAGCCAAGCGGTTAACCATTCCAGGTGGCTTTTACGTCTCTAGTCTGGGTGGGTTGGGGGCTCTTGTCGCAGTTAACATCATGGGGTCTCCTCTGCTCTTTCCGGCAGAGCATCTCCAGGCTGGCTAGATAATCTCCTTTTGGCTGGCTGAGAGCCAGCGTTCGAGGGGTGACTGGGGCGTGTGTGTGGGGGGAATCTAACTGAGGAGGTGTGGTGAGATGACTCTAATCTGTAGCCCTCTGTTTAGATCCTCTGCTGGGATTCCCCTCCCACCCCCTCTGTTTGTCTCTCTTTTTGTTACAAATACTCAGGCATTTGAATTGAGTAATTGCCCTGCGACTTCCTGGACAGCAGACTCCCCGTTGGCTGCCAAGCTCCAGAGCCCTAATTGGTGCTTGGGAGCATTCCCAGCTCCAGGGATCTGAGGCTGAGCTGCTCCGGAGGCCAAAGCCAGGAGCAGGGGATTCTCCCAGAGCAGCCTGAAGATGGGGGTGGCCCAGCCCTCAGATCCATTCTCGCACCAGCTGTTAAAAGCAGCTGCTGCTAGCAGGGGTCATGGAATCCTAGAACCCTAGAACTGGAAGGGGCCTCGAGAGGTCATCGAGTCCCCTCCTCTGCCCTCAAGGCAGGGCCGAGCACTGTCGAGATCAGGGCTACTCAGCGCGTGGCCTGCAGCCCGTTTATTTGCGGCCTGGTGGGAGGCTGCTGAGCTGAGAGCATTGAGCTGTTAAAAGCAGCTGCTGCTAGCAGGGGTCATGGAATCCTAGAACCCTAGAACTGGAAGGGGCCTCGAGAGGTCATCGAGTCCCCTCCTCTGCCCTCAAGGCAGGGCCGAGCACTGTCGAGATCAGGGCTACTCAGCGCGTGGCCTGCAGCCCGTTTATTTGCGGCCTGGTGGGAGGCTGCTGAGCTGAGAGCATTGGCGGAACCTCACAGGAGGAACACGGCTGAAGCAGGGCCAGCTAGCTTGGTCCTCAGCAGCCGCGGGCAGACCGGGACGATATGAGGCCTCTTTTCCAGGGGACATTGCAGGCTTGTAGCTCGTTGCCATGGTGTAGGGCTGTCAACAGCAGCCGCGCAGAGAGCCCGGCGGGGGTCTCCTCCCTCCACACGTGCGCTTCCCGTTTGTGTGGCTGGACGGAGTCCCGCTGCTCTCGGCGAGGAACAAGGATGCAGGGGGAGGGGAATCGAGAGAAGGGGCCGAAGCAGAGGCTGGTGCTAGGTAGCTCTTGACTGGCCTTCCTCTGCCGGCCTGGCTCCAGACCCTGCCTTGATCCAAGTGGGAATGAGCCGGATCCAAATAAACTTCCTGCCTGTCAGGGGGGTGAAACACTGGAATAAGTAGCCTGGGGAGGTTGTGGAATCTCCATCCCTGGAGATATAGAAGAGCAGGTTGGACAGACACCTGCCAGGGATGATCTAGATGGTGCTTGGTCCTGCTGGGAGGGCGGGGGACTGGACTCGATGGCTTCTCGAGGGCCCTTCCAGTTCTAGTGCTCTCTGATACCAGGCCAAAGAGCGTTGGCATGGGGGAGGGGTATCGGCAGAAATGTGGGAGGGATTCTAGGACTGGAATAGAGGGGGCCAAGTTCACAAACTGGCTGCTCTCCCCTGGCTTCCTCATGTCCCCTCAGAGGCTCCCTCCTTGCCCTTGCTGCCATTAGGACAGCTCTCCTGTAGCAGATTTCTCTCTCTCTCTCTCTCTCTCTCTCTCTCTCTCTCACTCACTCGCGCTAGGGATGCTGACCAGTTTCAGTTCACCGGTGGGATGGGCAGGGGGTTGCTCCAGACCCATGGGGCCCCCCACAGGCTGCTCCGGGCGTCCAGAGCTGCCCCTGTCTGCACATCTCAAGCAGGGGTTGCTCTGGCCAGGCAGGGGGACCCTGCCCATGGCGGGGTCCCTACATCCTGACCAGGGCTGGAGTGAAGGGCTGGAGCACTCCCCCCTTTAATTGGCTAACTGGTTAAACGTCACCTTTCATTGGTTAACTCATTACATGGGATTTTACATCCCTCACACCCTCCCCCGCCAAACTCTGTGCTGAGCTGGCCAGAAAGCTGCCAACTGCTGCCAGGGAGGGATTTGCAACCTCTGTCTTCAGCTGCTTTTCAGAGCTGACGCTGGGCAAGGAAACTGGCAGCTGGCACCTGCCCGAATCTGTCCAGACCAAGCGCAGGGTGGGCAGAGGCTTGGGCTTCTGTGGTTTTGAAACCTCCAGCTGGGCAGAGGGGACTAGAGCCACCCACTCCGCTCCCCCGACACCCGCTGGCTCTGGACTTGCCAAGAGCCTGCAGTGCCACCTGCCGGCCTGCAGCGTGAGCAGCGCCAGTCGCTTTCCAGCGCTGCCTTTCTCCAGTAGTGGGTGGGGATTCCCTGCACGCCAGCCCGGGGCTGGGAGAGAAGTGCCTAACATCACGCTAATGCTGTGGCCTTTCGGGAGGGCTGCGTGGTAGAGACTGCCTGGTGGCCTCCTAGGTGGGCGGGAGGTAAATAGCCCGTCCTGGCTGGAGTCCAGCTGCCCCCGGTGAGAAGGGCTGTGGGATCGATAACATTTCCAGCTGCATGAAGCACCGTGCTAGGGACTGGGCATGCTAGAGGAGAGCTGCAGCACCTAGAGTAGGGGTGGGCGGAACCTTTTTTGGGCTGGGGGCCACTGACCCACAGAAAAATCAGTCCGGGGCCGCACACAGGTGAGGAGCAAAAAACCAACCAAAAAAACCCTCACTGCCGTGGCCCCCGACCGAGAAGGAGAAAGATCCTCCCCACATACCTCTCCCGGAGCCTATAGGGCCCAGCGTAGGAGATTTTGTGTGCTCCACCAGTGCGGGTTCCCCAATGTTGGGGGGAGGGAGCTGAACCTCGAGGGCCAGATCCAGGCAAGCAAGGGGCCATATCTGGCCTCAGGGCCTGAAGTTCCCCACCCCGACCTAGAGCCTTTCACTGAGGTTTGCTCCAGATGAAGCAGCTTCCTGCCGGGGCCAAGCCTGGGGATTGTAAAGTCCCTGGCGTGGTCTCTGCTGCAGGAATGGGTGTGATCCGGCTGGCTTGGGAGGAGGAGACTCGGAATGGATTAAAACCTGTCCATCAAGGGCCATACTCTCCTGGAGCTGTGCCTGGTCCGGGCAGCCTCCCCTCCGCCCTAGGAGCCCCCAGCCAGGGGTTCACTCCGCCTCTCCCTCTTGCAGATAAAGTACCATGAAGAGTTTGAGAAGAGCAGGATGGGCCCGAGCAGCGGCGAGGGCGGTGAACCGGAACGCAGGAACTCGCAGGACGGCGCCAACTACAGGAGACCCGTGGAACAGCATCAGCAGCCTCCGGCCCAGCCCAGCAGCCCTGGTAAGGAGCCCCACGCTCTGGGAAGGGAGCCCTGGTTAAACAGGTCCCAGTCCGTCTCGTGCACCTCCTCCCTCCGTCTTCTGACTCCGGTGCCCCACCGAGGCCAGGCGTCGCTTCTCGGGCTCAGTGGGGCTACTGAAGGGCATGCCTCGCCTTGCAGAACTTCTTCCCAACACGTCTGGTTTCAGCCGCGGCACGGCTCTCCTGAGATGCTGCTCCGGGGCTCTCTAACCCCATACTCGGTCAGCTTGACACAGCTAACCAGGCATGTTTCTTTCCCAGGCTACCAGCAGCAGCCTCCATCTCAGTCCTTTGGCTTCAAGGAGCCTGCAGTGCCAGTCTCTACACAGCGTAACGCCCCGTCTGGAGGAGGAGGAGGAGGAGTGAGTATAGCCCCAGTGGCGCTGAGCCTGCCCAGTGCTCATGCTAGGTGGGGGTCTCCGGAGTGGCTGCTAGCACGGTCAGCACTTGGCTGCGGTCATGCAGCCTGCCCTAGCTGCTGCAGCTCCCCTTGCATGCAGGCCTGCTGACCGGGCAGGGAGCAAAAGGGGCGGCAGCAGTTGGAGCCCTAGGCCCTTTAAATCACAGCTGGAGCGCCGCACTGGGTTCTGAGGGGTGGGGCGGGGGACGTGCTCCTGGCGGCATGCGCCCCCCCCCGTCGGCCCCAACCCACGCCCCTCCTGGCTCAAGCCATGCCCCTTCTGCCTCAAGCCACGCCCCTTCCCGGAGCACAGAACTCCCCCCACACACCTTGTTCAGGGATCCATGCAGGCTGTCGGCTCCTCTACTTGCATGGGGGCGAGGGGTCCACAGACCCTTTCTGCCCCCCCCCCCTTCCAGGGTTCTCCTGCTGCAGCTATTAGCAGGCACTGCTGGGCTGTGAGCTGGGCCCAGCCCCATGGCGCCCTGCCCTCTGGAGAGCCCAGGAGTGGCCCCTTCACAGCTCCGTGCCCCTCAGCTCTCCTGAATCACAAACTTTCCCCAAGAAAGCTCAGTCGCTCTCGGGTGGGCTCAGCCGCCATGAGCAGGGCGTGGGAGGGGACCTGGACCGCCTCCATGTGTCTGACACTTCTCTGCCCGCCCCC